CTGCCAACTATGATCACCAGAAGTGGAAGAAGTGTGTTTAATCTCACGGCGATCCTCTTTGATTCATCACTTGGATTCATGATTTTCCTCTTGCGTTCAACGTTCAGTCACCAGAAATCGAGTGAGTAACGGAACGTTGATGAACAGCTCGGGGAACTCCTGGCCAGTCCCTTTGGCGAAAAGTTGTCAATTGAGTGCAGAAAATTCAAAACAGATTTTTCAATGAGCATAAATTATCACTTGTACGTGACATTGAACAGAATGCAGCCGTCAGGGGCCCCGCTGCCCAGCCTGCTGCGGTCTTGCATGGGCGGTTGAATTAAATGGCATCGTCTTCCGCTGCAGCCCTCACTGCCCTACCCCCCAGCAAACAGATATTGTACTTTATTTAATACGAAGAATTTTGGCACTTCTGGCTCTTCTAAGTCATGCAAGGAGCGCAGATTGAACACAAACGCTCGCCGACCCCAACACCCTCGTAGTCGGCACTGGCACCTGACGAAGGGCCTCACAATCTCACTGCCCCTCCTTCCGTGGTCTTCGTTGGAAAAGTGAAGGAGACAGAGAGTGCTAGACTGGCGGCCTGATGGCATATCTGCCGTTACGTCTGCCTACCCCCTTCACTTTGTGCAATGCACGCGGAGGGTACCCCGTTCAGCTGGCAGCAGCAGCAGAAGCAACCATGGCAGTGGAGTCAGCAGCAAGCTGAGCAGCGCTCTTGGCATGCAACAGGGGAGCAGCAAGAGCAACGTCCCATAGACACTTCGCAGCGGACAGAGGGCCCAGGACAGTCTCGCTGGCAGCAACGGTGCGTGTACACTGGAGAGGACGGCTACCAGCAGATACAAAAGGACCCGTCACAACAGTACTTTCACCAACTAGGCAACGAGACGCCGCACTGGCAGCAGCAGCGTCTTCAGCAGCAGCAGCTGCTGCTGCAGCAGCAGTGGCAGTCTGAATGCGACGACCGCCAGGAAGCCCAACTGCCGCCGCCCAAACCATGGGAGCCCTTGAGCCAAGCACGGCGTCGGCAATGGCAACAGGACCTACAGCAGCAGCAGCAGTCGCAGCTGCTGCTGCAGCAGCAGTGGCATGAGCAGCAGCAGCCCAACAGCGGACCGTCAGAACCGTCGGGATCCCCCAGCAGCTCCTCACCTTATCAGCAGCAGCCGCCTCAACTTCAACAACAACAGAGAAATCAGAGCTTGTCGCGATGGGGGCCAACGACGCAAGCCTCGGAGTGGCAGCAGCAGCAGCAACGGCAGCAGCAACAGCAGCAACAGTGGAGGGAACAGCCCCAGTCTGAAAACGACGACCGACAGGAGCCCCAGCTGCTTCCGCCAAAGCCATGGGAGCCCTCAAATCAGGCCCGGCGTCGACAGTGGCAACGGGAGCTGGAGCAGCAGCAGCAGCAATCGCAGCAGCAGCAGCAGGACGATAGGCTAAAGTACGGCGCACTCGAGGGACACCAAACAACTGCAGCAACGCCTGTGCCGCGGACAAAGCGGGTGTGGGGTTTGTCAAGAGCAGCAGTAGCAGCAACAAAATCTCCAGCAGCAGCTAGCAGCAACTGGAATCCTAGAGCGTGGCCTTCCACAGACCCGCATGCAGGAGACCCTGGGGGGGACAGCAGCAACGTCAGCAACAGCAGCAGCTGCAAGCGGGAGGAGCTGTCCTTCGAAGGAGTAAAGGCAGCAACTGCTGCAGCAGCAGTTGCTGCAGCAGTGCTGCAGTCAGCAGCGCGACAGCAGCCCTCCGTGCTGATGCCGCCAGCAGCAGAGCCAGACCTCCCCGGCCCAGCGGGCCGCTTGCTGCGGCGGCGGCAGCAGCAGGAGAAGGGGAAAAGAATTAGGTGGGGCTTTTTGCAGAGTTTTATCACCTTTGCCTCAGTTTGTTCATCCACTCAAGCTTTAAGCCCTTATTCCTTGCTGCTGCGCTGCTGGGCTTGAGCAGTGTTCAACTAAAAGAGACGCAATTTGGTTAAGAGTTTCGGAACTAGGATCAGTGCTTGTGTTGCCTGTGCAGAGGATTAGCAGGAGACTCCCCGTTTGCCCTTGAGAAGGGCCACATTCGGTCTGCTGACAGCTCCCAGTCGTTATCGTCTGCTGCTGCTGCTGTTGCTGCTGCTGCTGCTGCACCGGGGTTCACATCCTGCCCAGGCTGCTGGGGTGGCGCCTGGCTAGGGCTACGCCACTGCGACACAGCACAGGCTGCTGCAGCAGCAACAACAATGAACGGGTGGACTGATGAAGCAAATGAGCAAAGAGCACCTCTGCAGCACTCTGCCTCCTGGGTTCGCGCGGTTCTTTTCTTAGGCTTCCCATTCGACGGTAACTTTTTTCTCTTGCTGCTGCTGTTGTTGCTACTGCAGTTGTTATGCGGCTTCAACTACTCCCGAATTCAAAATTCAGCTTTATCCGCACATTGCTCTTACAAAGTTGAGCATACGTATCATTAGGCCTGGCTTGGGTGTATCTAAACTGCGACTGCAGCATTTCACTTAGGCTTGACTCCGTCTCCCTCTCCCTGTCCTCGCATGTAAGGTTCTCAGTAGCAAACACAAAACAAACCTGCGAGTAATCGGTCAGTCTTTAGGCCTACCTCGATCTGGCGAAATTGTCCGTCGCTCCTGAGTTTTACTGCCGCTGGGAGTTGCTGCTGCTCTATTTTACCGAAGCAGTATGTCTCTGTTGTTGCTGCTGCTGTTTATTGGTGCAGCATGTCTTTTCTTGTAGAGTCAAATGTTTCCGCTGTACTGCGCTATTGCGACTCGCCAGTGACGAAGGTGAGGGCAAGGTACATCAACTGCCGATGACAAATCTCCTTAAAATTGCCGACGGGACGGACATCGCGTGGGCTAATAACTGCAGCTGCTGCCGTCGTTGCTGCTGCAGGTGCCGCACTTGCTTTTGTTTTTGAAGTACGCAATAATGGGCGACGACGAAGGCACGCTGACAGACCGGTTGCTGGTTGCCGCTGTAAGTGGAATCCAGCTTTAACGAGCTATCCAAGCATTTCAACAGAAAATGTCCTTTCCAGTCTATCGAACTGGCAGACATTTCGCAGACCTATACAGACACGCGAAAGTTGTTACACCTACGTGCATCCGTGTAGACTTGAGGAAGAAGATATGCGTAATGTATTCGAAGACCGATTGTAATTGGCTCTACATGATGTAGCTCTGTAAGCAGCGAAAATCTGCGCATAATGCTTGTGAATGTAAATGATAGCTACCTGCCTATCTGTTTTTCATATGCAGTGACTCCGGCACACAACACAGAATCTTATTCTAGTCAGATGCAACACATGCAGGCAAACGGCAGCCAAAAAACGCATGAAACTGCTTCGAAATTGTCTATTTATGTACAGTTTCCATATACTACTTGGCAAATGTCCCCCTTGAATGTTTTCATTCATCTTAATAAATATTTCTCTGCCTTTGCATGCCGTCCTTGGGTCTACCGTTTGTTCTGGCGTCTTTCTCCTATCTGCCTGCTTGATGTTCATGAATTTCTTGTTCGCCTTTTGCACCTCTTGCCTGTTTGCGTGTGCCTCACCTCGCGCCAGCCATCGCATGCTTATTTATATGTATTTTTCCATCTGTTTGAAGGACCCAACGGGCGAAGTGGTGTGCTCTGTCCATTCCTCCGTCTCTGAGACGTTCCACTTGTGTCCCGGAAGCACTGTCATCCTACAAGAGGTCTGCAGCCAATCACTCCGTCCTGTTACTGCGAAGCTGCTGCTTCTACCCCTGCTCCGGCTGCTGTTTTCCTGGCCAGTGTAGAGGCCCATCTGCGCCTGATGCACGATTCGGACATTCGCCTGCGTGCAGTTCTGTATATTTCGGGTATGCATGACTCCACATTGTGTGTTTGTATGTAGCCTACGGTGTACTACGCGGCATTCAAGCTGCCTTACGTCCTCATCACCCAGCGCTCGCTCGTGAGGGTAAAAAAAGCACCCACCTCCTCATCTCCCTTTGTGTCACATTCCGTGTTCTTTCCTTTAATTTTCGACTAATTAGCCCTCCTGCCGAGTTTGGTCTGTTCTGGACCTGCAGCCCCCAATATTTTCGTTTCTACCCTCCCTGTTCATTCCATAAGCATCCTTGGATTGTATCGATCCTGCTGTTTGCGCCTCTCGCCTCGCCATGTCTGCTTGTTGATGGTGGCCTCTTCGCTTGTGCCTTCTTGTAGTGCTGTTCTCCATTATAATGATGTAGCTCCGTATTATTTTGATTACGTCTCTTCTCCCGTCCCTTTAGCATTTGCCTTTATTCTTGCTGTTGCCGTTGCCGTTATTCTCTCTGCTTATTTTCCGTCCATTCTACAGGCATTTCCCCCGAGCTTTATAGACGACGGGCTCCGGCAGCAAGCTGATGAGGCTCGCGAGGAGTGGGAGTACAGAGTGAGCCCTGACCTCGCATCCCAGCTCCATGCTAAGCTGCCCATCTGGGTTGGTACGTAAATAGCCCTCAGACATAGTCTTTTTCTTTTATTGACTGATATTTTGCGTTCACCATTGCTGTTGCAGTGGCGTGGAGTCCACGGCGAAATCACAGGGGAGCCCGAAGGGAATGCATTCAGGTCCCAGCCACTTGGGTCGTCTCAGTTAGCCAACTGATTACTGGTGAGCTAGGTGGATACCTTGGTGTGCCATCTCGCTAGCGTACTTGACTGAACGGAAGGCTACCTGGTTCGCCGGTTTCCCAGCTAGCCATCTAGCTGGGAAGACGGTTACATAGAAACCTGGGAGCCCTGGAGAGGCGCACCCGTGCCTTCCGCATGTGTTTCCCTCGTTAAACCGTGGACTGTAGAAGATAAAACCTCTAATAGGCGCAGTCAAAAGCATTTCATCCCGTACAGTTTGATTTTTTAGAGGCTGAAGCTGGAAATGCCAGACAGCCTCAAAACTGCAGACGGCAGCTGACAAGAAGGAAACTTCCGCACTGGCTGCCAGCTCTACTATGCTAGCCAGCCACCTTTCTAGCAAAACATTAGCTATACTTGGGGCCTCGCTCCAAGGATGGGGCCCGCCTTCTCGTGTATTGCGCGGAGCAGTGGCTCTGCGAGCGCCTGGCGGTAATGCACATCTGCTCCGTCCAACTCTTCAAGGAACACCTGCTGGTGGTAGGGCAGCGACTGTTGTTCTAACTTCTGCTTGTTTTCGTTGTTTTCTTGGAAAATCAGCACATCATCTGACGCGGCAGAGGGGGGCTGCCTCCAAAGAAGAGCCAAAGAGTCGATAGCCACCTGCGACGCAGCAATGCGCAAGATAAGACACCACGGAACTGCTTCTATAGCTGCAGCTACTGCTAAATCTGCTGGCCCCAAAAGCAGTTAGCTTTGCGTGCGCCCTCGGCAAGGAAAGATGGCCTATCTCGTAATGTGTGGAGAACACAATTTTTCGCTTTTCTCCAACACCAGCAGTAAGAACGACAGCAGTAGCAGCACTTGCCTCTAAATTATCCGTGTCTGCGTCCCACGCCGAAGCAGCAGGTCGTCGCGGCAGTAGCTGCTGCCGCCTGGCCACTGCCAGCAGAAAGTACCTCCCCGAGAGAGACCAACTTTTTGAAAATTTATACGCCCGAGACAAGAAACCTGACACACAAATTTTCCACAGCGGTGGCTGTTATATATCACATCAGCAATCGTGAGACGAATAAACCAGAGATACAGCACAACGAATTTACGGCCGTAACATCAACCGCAGACACACTTTCGAGGGCGTGGTGTTTCCACTCAATTTGCCACTACGTGCTGAATCTCAACACCCCAGTGCGTTTCACCGGAGCGCAAAAGCTGCCACTTCTGCTGTTGCCATTGATGCAATTGCTGATGCGACCAGTGCAGCCGTTATTTGCGTTGCTTCTCCTGATGAATCTGCTGTTGCCGTGGCTGGTCTTTCTGCTGCAGTTGCTGCAGATTCTTTCTACTGCCACTGGGGCCGCGTGTACACTTACGCGTGAAATTTTCCCTGTGAAGTTCCTGAAGCGCTGCTACTAGGCCTTGGGCGTCCTCGCTGACAGGCGGAGGTGTCATCTGCGTCAGCAAACATAGTAGCACTGCTGCTAGGCTCTTTCAGAAGAAGTTGCAGCAACATTGGTGGGGTGTTTGCGTCAGCAAACATAGTAGCATTGCTGCTGGGCCCCTTCAGAAGATGTTGCAGCAACATTGGGGGCTACAGCAGCATAAGTAGCAAACGCTGCAGCAGCATCACCTCAAGCATTTCCGCAAAGGCATGAACGTCAGATGCAAGACGGCCAGACCGCACAGGCGAGGCCATGGACAGGAAATCCCGCATGGATCTCTCGTGCTGCTGCCGCTGCTGCAGCCGGTGCTGTTCTTGTTGCTGCTGCTCCCACTCAGCTGCTGTGAAATCATTTGTTCCCTCTATGTCTTGATTCTGCTGCTGCTGCTGCTCTAGCAGGGAGTTGCAGTAGTGCTCTGGTGGCTGCTGCACCAGATCTTCCTGCTGCTCAGTGACGAACTGTAAGTCCACCAAAAACTGCAAAAACGGCTGCAAAGCAGCAGCAGCAGCAGCAGCAGGCCAGACACAATGTGATCAAGCATAAGGGCATTTTGTCCAGCCAAGAAAACCCGCCTGACGTGCATGAAGCACTTCCTGCTGCGCTACGCGAGACCTGTTGCTGCAGCTAGCGTGCCAAGAAGGTGGCAGCAAAGGCAGCCACAGCAGCAACGCAAAGAAGCAGCAGCAGCTCTTGGTGCTGCCGCAGCCAATCGGGAATCTTTAAGAAAAGTGTTACCTTCCGTGTTTGAATTGCAAGTTTCCGCATCTTTGCAGCTGCATTCGCTGCTTCTGCTGCTGCTGCTGGCCCCATTGGCGCTTCAACTGGGACGCGAAGACCCAGCAAGGCATGCAGCTGCTGCCATTCTGTGAGGACGAAGGCGCTATGTGTTTCTAGTGAAGCTTTTTTTTGCCTGTGCATTCCTTGCACCTGCTGCAGCAGGCCACGCCCGCCTTGCTGCTCTAACTCCTCCTGCTGCAGCAACAGCAGCTGCTGCTGCTCTTGCAAAGCTTCAAACTGCTCTCGTGCCTGCTGCTCTTGCTGCCGCGCCAGCAGAGCCAGCCGCGGCACAACTCGAGTGGCAGTGAAAGAGCGCCTGAGTTAATTACACACCATAAAGTACTTGGTCCTCAGCAACAAACGCGCAGCAGCAAGTGCAGCAGCAGCAGCAGCAGCAGCAGCGGACACAGTGTCGTGGGCCGTACCAAACACTGTCATATGTGGCTCTGTCATGCGCTTGAGCAGCAGCATTAACCGCTTCTTGCTGCTCTGGGTGCAGCAGCAGAGCCTTCTGCTGCTGCAGCAGCTCGGGCAGCTGCTCTCGGTGCTGTTGCACAAATCGCCAGGCCAGCCTTGTGCGCATTTCCGTCAGCTTTCTGTTTCGCTTCGGCTGCTTCTTCAGGGGCACCCGCATCTGCTGCAGGTGAGTGGGAAACCTCTGTTCCAGCCGGTGCTGCTGCAGCTGCGGAGGCACTGGGGTGTACAGACACCTGTTCTTCTGCTGCAGCGCCACACGCAGCTCATACTGCTGCTGCCGCATGCGCTGCAGCTGCCGCGTCCCAGGGGCCCTTGACTTCGGCTTGCTGGACGCCATTTGCTGCAGCAGAGCGCTGCTGCTGCTGAAGCTTGTGGGGTTCTTGCTGCTGGGGCTTGTCCGCCCACGAAGTTGCTGCACAGGCAAGAAGGAGTGCAGAAAGCCAGCTGAAGGGGCCTCGAGTGCCGCTGTTGCTGCTGCTGCTGCTGCTGCTGCTGCTGGCTCTGCTAGCCGTGTTGCTCTTGATGCTGCTGCTGGTGCTGCTGTCAGCTGCCAAGCTGGCTGCAGCGGAGCGTGCATCCCAGACATCCAGGCAGCGGCCCTATACGGCAGCAGCAGCAAAAGCAGCAGCAGCAAAAGCAGCAGCAGATGCTGAACTGCATTCTCCCGTGCCATTTCAGTGGCTGGGACCCCCCACCCACAACAGCAGCAGCAGTAGCTACAGCTGCGGCTGCAGAGCCTCCGAGGAGTGCGTGTGCTCTTTTAAGGGCTCATCCTCAGACTGTAGCAGCAGTAGCTGCATCGGCAAGATCGGCGGTAAGTGCTGCTGCTTCTGCTGCTAGCCTGTTGTCTTAGTCCGCCACTGCTTAGCAGCTGCTGCGGGCCCTTTTCCTCGGCAGCAGCTGTAACAGCAACACCTGGCTCCGCGCAACAAGACACGACTCGTGTTGTCTCAGCCTCACGGCCTCTGAGGATGCTGCTGCTTCAGCTGCTGCAGTTCTGGTGGTCGTTGGTGTCCCAGTTGCGGTTACTGCAGTGATTTCTGCTGCACAGTTGTTGCTGCCATAGTGCTGCTGCTGCTGCTGGTGAGTGAAACTACCCAATTGGCTGTTCGGCGCTGTTACCCTGGCCCCACTCCCGCAGTGTTGACGTTTGGCTAGTGTGTATTTGTTGAATTTCTTGTAAGGACTGCAGCCGACGGGCAGAGCTGCTGCTGCAGAGGCTGCTGCTGTTGCATGCGGGTTGCCGCCACAGCCTGCATGCAGCACAATCGGTTTTCGCTGGAGGTGAAGCTTCAGCGCAGCAGAATACAGAGCAACAGCAGAACTTTAAGGCTTTAAGGACTTGTGTTGAAATTAATTGATTTTTTCTGTCCGGCTCCAGGCTATTGTTTGGTGTCTGCGCTGCAGCAGCTCAGCCGCCACTGCTCTCTCCTTCAAGTCCTTGAACTGCAAAAGCTGTTCTACTTTGTCGATCGCTTCCCACTATACAGCAAGAGAATCTCTTTATTTGTTTCTTTTTGCGGCAAAAGGCTCAACGATCCCAAGATACGGCCTTCTGCTGCAGCTGCTGTATCCAGTGTTGCTCTCGCTGAGGCGTGGCCTCCCGGCATACGTCCAAGATTGGCTTTCCCTAGGGTCCTAGGCGCCTTCCTCAAGAAAGAACAAAGTACCAAGGACCATTTTCGGCAAGAAAGACCACGGCAGCAGCGGCAGCAACAACGCCTGAGCAGCAAAGGCGACAGCAGCAGCACCAGCAGTACAACCGCTGCTGCAGCGACTTCAGCAGCAGCGAGAACAGCACGAGGAGCTGCCCGCCGTGCCTTTGTTTAACGTGGCGTCCAGCCATCCCTGTTAACTTGCTATTTGCCTGCCGGAAGGGGCTGCTGTTGCTGTGGTCTCCTGCTGCTGCTACTGTGCTACTGCTGCAGCAAGCGAAAATGTCGAACATGGACAGGTTTACCATCCATTCCCAGCTGCAGCATTTGCAGAGCAAATATCCTGGCACTGGGAATGCAGACACCACGCGGCTGTACGTACACTTAAAGCTACTCGCCCGACTCAGGCACGAAGTCTCAGCTTCCGTCGTGCTGCTGCAGCTGCTGCTGTTGCTGATGGCATCATTTGTTTTGCTGCTGCATCTCTGCAGGGACTGGGGCATAAACATTCAGCGTGACACACTGGCGTCTCACGTGGGCCACTACAGCAGGTGACTGACTAGCTGCTGCTGCGGGTTAACTGCTGCTGCAGCCAGTGTAGCTATTGCTGCTGCTGCTGCTGCTGCGCCAATAGAAGGCGTTGCGCTTTAGCCAAGCCTTGGGCTGCGCGCAGGCTGGCCTACTTCGCTGTGGCCGAGAACGAAAGCATCCGGCGCATTCGCTACAGGTGCCTGAATGTGAGTCTGGTAGCAGCAGCAGCAACAGCAGCAGCAGCAGCAACAGCAGCAGCAGCGGCATCTCGTTTGCCGTGGCCGCATACGGCCTGCTGCTTCGGTGTGTTGTGCTGCAGCAAATGGTGTGTCCCACACTTAGGGCGGACAGCACAGAGGAAGAGAAAGCTGCGCCTTCCGGGGAGGCGGCGAAGGACGCAGCAGCAGAAGCAGAGGCAACAAAAGAAGCAGCAGCAGCAACAGCAGCAGCAAAAGAGACAGAGGAAGAAGAAAAGGCAGAAGTAAAGGAAGAAAAAGACCAAGACGCCGACATGGCCATGGAAGAGGGAGATGACCTGTAGGCCCAGCGCTGGCAGCACACTTGCCACCGCGGGGAGCAGCAGCTGCTGCTCCCGTAGCTGCTGCTGCGTCTGCTGCAGCTCTGCTGCAGCTGCTGCTGCGTCTGTTGCAGCTCTGCTGCAGCTGCTGCTGCGCCGCAAGGACAGCCAGTGCCAGAGCCAAGTGCTTCAGAGACGCAAGGGAATAAACTGTGGGGTGCAGATTTTGGCAAACTGCAGCAGCAGTGCTACTGGCAGCAAATAGACACAAAAAACTTGCAACCTGTTCCTCAGAGTTGGAGCTCCTAGCTAGCTCGTAGCTAGCTAACTAGCTAGCTGGCTAGCTAGCTAGTTTCGCTCGCCAGCCACGTGCAGGGCCTCCCGCCCGCCGGCTAGCTGTGCAAGCTCGGCAGCCAGCTAGCCATCTGGGGTGGGGCCTTCCCCGCAGCTAGCTAGCCAGCAGCAAACTGCCCGCTGCTGCTGCACTTGTGGCCCAAAGGGCCTGCTCCCTGATGCCCATGGGGGTGGCTACAAAATAGATGCCAGCGGCTTGGCTAGCTGGCTTCGGATGGAACTCCGTAGCTAGACGGCTAGCTGCGTAGCTAGCTAGCTAGCCAGCTAGCTGGGCCGAGATGGGGCGGCTCGCGCCTAGCTAGCTAAGGACAGAAAAACCGGAAGCCAGCCAAAAGAACCGAGGAAGCAAATGCCACCTCTTTGGCCTGCTGCTGCTACTTTACGCAAAAACAGGCCCCGAGTGGGGGGGCCGGAGGTCCACATCTTCTCTTTGGAGGACTAGCTGCTGCTGCGCCAGCTGGTGCTGCAGCAGCTCGCTGGCAGTGTGCAGCTGCGGGTGCGCCAGCTCCAGGCGCTGCAGCTGCTGCAATTGTTGCGGCTGGCGCTGCAGCATCAGCTGCTGCGGCTCGGGCTGCAGCGCCAGCCGCTGCTGCTGCACCTGCTGCTGGCTCTCCGCCTCTTGCTCTTGCTGCCGCTTCTGCCCCTGGAAACCTTCAAAGTTCCTTCGCTTCATCACCCGCACTGCGCGGTGTATGTACTGCAGCAAGCAGCAGCAGCAGCCTCGGCAACAGCAGTTACGGCAGCAGCGGCTGCTGCGAAAGCGTAAAGAAAACCACTGACACGCAGCATAGCGGCAGTGCAAATCGTGGCAGCAGCAGCAGCACCAACAGCAGCAACAACCGCAGCAACAGCAGCAGCAAAGAGCGGACAGCAGTAACAACATACCCTGGTTGCATAGAAATCATCACTTTCCGTCATGTTCCCCGCAGTTTTGCTGCGTCTGGGTAAATAGTATGCTGCTGCTGCTGCTGCATCCTCGGATCCCTCTGCAGCCAAATGGCCTTGGGGCAGCGAGTCATCGAATTGGCTGCTCCCCAACGCTGCTGCTGCTGCCTCCACTCCAGTGCTGCTGCTGCTGCCAGCTAGTCCTATTGCGTCGGCCGGCGCGCCGCCATCAGCGTGAAAAGGCAGGCCCATGTAGCTGCTGCTGCTGCTGCTGTAGCTGCTGCTGTCGATTGTGCTGTCGTCAAAGAAAGCGTCCGGCTGCTGCACCAGGTGGCCAATCTTAATTAGCTCGTCCCTCCACGCCTTAGGGTCCCGCGGCACAGCCAAGCTGCTGCTGCTGCTGCTGCCTTCGCCACTGCTGGGGTCCTGGCCTGCTGCGTTGCTGCAGCTGGCATGCGGGCCTGTAAGCGCTGCAGCAGCCACCGCAGACCCTGCAGCCATGCCGCTCAGCAGCTTCCCCTTTTCCCGCTGCTGCAGGTGCTGGCTGTCTCTGCTGCTGCTTCTGCTGCTGCTGCTGTGGACCTCTGAGTCTGGCCGGGGGCCCCCTTCTAGAGGCAGCCGCATGTGCTTCTGCAGCTGCTTTCGCCTCGACTCGCTCAGCATCCTTTGCTTCCGCATGCGCTGCCGCTGTGCCAGCTGCTGCTGCTGCTGCTGCCGCATGTGACCATCAGCAACCACGTTGCTGCTGCTCCTTCTGTTGCTGTTGCTGTTGCTGCTGCTGCTGCGAGGAGTTGTGAGCCAGAAAGCAGCAGTCATCCCAAAGGCAAGTCCGAAGCCCCGGGCAGCGCCCGTGAAGGGTGTGTGGTATGCGCGTCGCTGCTGCTGCTGCTGCTGCTCCTTCCAATGTTCCTCTTCCCAATATTTGTAAGCATTGGCCTGCTGCTGCCTCCACTGGTGTTGCTGCTCCTCCCAATGCTGCCACCTCTGCTGTTGCTGCTGCCGTTGATGATACCACCATTGCTCTCTGTTTGCGGCGCCCTGGTGACGCTGGTAATGCTGGTGCTGCTGCTGCTGCTTCCATCGGCCATGAGTAGACTGCGTGGCAGCTGCTCCAGCTTCTCCCTCCAAGAGTGCCTTCAGGCGCTCATAGTTGCACTGTAGCTGCGCAAAGTCTGCTGCTGCCGACGCTGCAGCAGCAGCAGGCCGCTGATCCGGATGTCTCTGCTTCGCTAGCAGCAAATAGCGCATGCGGACTGCGCGGCTGCAGCGGCAAGTCGGCGGCAAGTCGAAAAATAGCAGCAGCTGCTGCAAGAGCTGCTGCTGCTGGTACTGGTGTCCCCCTCCCATGGCGGCCTCAGCGTCGAGTCCCTCCGGCTCATTGGCTGCTGACGATTCGTTTGCTACTGCTGTTGCCGCTGACACGCGCAACTGCTGTATATAGGCTGTGCTTCTGCTGCTTGTAACTGCAGCTGCCGTTGCCGTCGCTGCAGCTTTCTAGCCGGGCAAGGGCAACGAACTCTCCTAAAGAACGTAGCTGGAGGCGCGTGTCTTCATGCACGCGCTGAATGCACACGCGAAACACGCGGTCACCGAACGCAAGCTGTGCCTCGCCTCTAGGACACGGCTCGAAACGCATGCGCGCGCTGCTGCGAAGAGAGTGCAGCAGCGCTACGCGCCGCAAACTTGTACTGAAAAATGTGATGTGCACATTCGCCTAATTCGGTCAGTGATTTGATAAGGAGGTGAGTTTTAAGAAGTATGAAGCGGCAGTGCAGGTTGGTGGACAAACACGCTGCACGGCAGCAGCAGCAGCGCAGCACGCGGCAGCTGCAGCAGCAGCAGCCTGCCGCTGCTGCATGTGCAGCAGCCGCTGCAGTGGGGACATGGCAACATGACCTGTGCAGCGCCCCACTACGAGGCGGGAGAAAATGTTTCGTCTTTAAATAGGAAAACACGGAGGGGATATCTGCTTTCGAGTAAGTTGCTGAACTTTTGCTGTTTCACCGTGCGCTGCTGAGGTATATGCAGGCTGCAGCAGTCCTTCTGCGGGGTCATGGGGACAAGGGATATGTTGCTCGAGATGCATTTACGGTGGTTTTCATACTTTGCGGCATTTCTTGCTGCTTAATTTACTTAACGTAGAGCTGTTTTTGGGTTTTTCGTGCGGGGGGCCGAGCTGCAGCAGCTGCAGCAGATGGATCACTGTGGGCTGAGGACCGGGCTGCGGCTTCATGAGCAACAGTAGCTGTATTGAGGTTCTTCGTCTTCAGTTCGGCTTCGTTCGTTTTGTCATTTTCCCCTATAAATGTAGTGCGTATCTGGGCGCTGTCTCTGGGTTTTTGCCTTCCCGCGTTCCCCACGCCGGAACTAGTGCTTCCTCCCGGATTGGCCCACGTTCCTCACGCACGCGTCACCGTGAATGTGTGCACTAGAACATGTATCTGTTGCCGCATCAAAAGCTTAATGCTGTCAGCCAAGGAGGTGTTGGAACGAAGTGCCGCGCTGCATGTGCAGATCAGGCTTGCTCTGAAGTGTAGGGGAGATGCGCTGTGTGTGCTGAGTGTGGGGCAGGTTCTATGTGCGTATTTGGTACATCGCCGCTGCGCCTGTTTGAGCGTAGATAATCTCCGGTGTTGGCCTAGCCTGAATTTGTCTACCGCATCTCATGCGGGGCTAGTCGCTGTCTCTGGCGTGTGTGGCTGCAGATTGAAGAGTCCAAAAAATGACAACTCGACAGCGGATCGTTAAGGTTGACGGCAGCCAGCCGACGGAGGTGGAGAAGGAGGTGGACCGGTGCCTTGCAGACATTGAGGTGTGCCATTGAATATGTTGATCCTTTGGCGATCTCCCTCTTCTGTTCCACCGTAGTTTTCCGTTTAATAGTTGAATTCCTTCTTCATTCTCTTTAGTGCTTTTCTGAACTTCTTGGTTTTGTGTCTGCAGTCGAGCGCCCAGTCTGAGCTGCGGGCCGAAGTGGCAGAGCTGACCATCTGCGCAGTCAAGCCCGTGGAAGTGCCCGCCTCGGGGAAGACGGCGCTGGTGATTTTTGTGCCCTACAGGGTTTACATGAACGTGGTGAAGCGGATCCACGCCAGGCTTGTGCAGGAGCTCGAGAAGAAGCTCAAGAGGCACGTTGTCATTATTGCGCAGGTGCGTCTCCTTCGGGGGAGCAGCAGCCGCATTACCAGCTGCTGCGCCAGTCGTTGCACTGCCGGCGCGAGCTGCAGCAGCAGAGCCAGCAGCTGCTGCTCCGCGTGGGTGTGGGTGTTCACAGAGGAGCATCGTGGGTCTCGACTACAAACGCAAGAACCTCAAGGTCCGCCCGCGATCCAGGACCCTCACTAACGTGCAAGACGCGATGCTGGAGGACATCGTAGCACCCTCTGAGGTGGTGGGCCGCAGGTGAGTTAGGCGTTTCTCCTCGGCAGCATTTGCTGCGCTTGTTTTTGCTTCAGCGTTTCCCAAGTTGGGTTTTTATTTTGACAAAGTACTTCGTTTTCGTGTGTTTTTGCAGGTGGCGCGTGCGCGCTGATGGGTCCAAGCTGATGAAGGTGCACCTTGACCCCAAGGACAAGGCAAAAGACAACTTGGAGGAGAAACTGTGGACTTTCGCTGCTGTATATAAACGCCTCACCAACAAGGACGCTGCATTCCTCTTCCCCGAACACGTGTATTGAACATGAAGTATCCACTTTCCTGCGCCTCCCGTGGCTCGTTCCTTGTGCCTGTCAACCTAGCTACGGAGGCGGCCAGCTACGGAGCCACGTGCCCAGCGGGCTGCCGCGACATTTGCTGAGCTGCAGCTCACAAGGAAACCGCCATGCGGTTAGTAACTCTTCTGCCTCCTTAATTCCTCTCGGGACCGAGCTGCACAGGGACAGTTGATACGAATTAGTTGTTCACTGTAGTTTGCCAGCATTTCTTCTAGCCATGTTGAAAGTAGACGTAGGTACGAACATATTCTGGTTCGTTTCTTCGGTCTCCACTGCGACGTTGTTCTAGTACCACTCGTCAACTAGAAACACGTAGAGATTACACCATTGACCTGCTCGCTGGTGTTGGCGCCACATGTCGCTTGTCTGGTGCGTTAGTCAGCTTGGCCGCTCGTGCCTTGGCTGAGCAGTAGCATGGTGGCAGCTCGTTTCGCTGATGAGAGCCGTGTATGTGGCATAAGTAGTGGCGGTTTATGAGAAGGCAGCTATGAGGTGAAGTGTGAGAACGAGCGAAGTTGCGTGACGACAGGAGTGGAGCCCACCTAAACATCGATTCCCTCGACTGAGCACTGTCGCAGGCTCGGTGAGACAGGTATCTTAGTAACAGTTCCGGAGTTTCTGTGAAACTTGTACCGCAGTGCTATGATGCTGGAGTTGTGCTAGTTTTCTGGTAAAGGATTTTTCGCTTTTTCGGCACATATGGGGGGAACTTGGACAGCCGATGTAGCTCAGTCGGTAGAGCGCGAGGCTCTTAACCTCGTGGTCGCGGGTTCGAGCCCCGTCGTCGGCTTCCCCTAATCGATCTCCTTCTTATTTTGAGTAATTTTTTACTATATGCAGCAGATAACCAGCAACAACTTGTGTATGTTATATTTGACCTGTTATTTCTCTCTTGCTTCGTGCGAGTGCAGCAAAAACCGGGCTACCAGTTACATATAAGTTACCTGATTGCGATTCAGATAGTTGAATCGCAATCCTTCCAATTCCACTTCACATACATCACTCTCCTTACGCCCCGCATTTTCGCAATACATTTTTCTGGAAAAGCGAGTAATTGATATTTTCTTGTTCTTTCGTGTAGCTGTAGGACTTGGGTTTGCCACCAGGCCAGTGTCAAAGGGCCCTACAGAATGACCTGTTGTTGCTTCAGGGAATCCACTCGTGGAACTTTGGTTGAATGAATGAAAAAAGTTCAGACAAGCAAAGTTCTGAGGCATTCATACTTAGTGACAAAAACGCTGCGGTGTAAAGGCCATCGATATCGACTCTTCAGCTCTCCGCCCAAAGCCTCAGGGGATCATCCATTTCGTCCAGTTCCCTCGAAGCCCACAGACACAAGCCCAGCAGAGGAAAGCGTCAGATGCAGCAGAAGATCGAATCACTGAGTTTCTTGCGTCTACTTCTTGGGCCTCAATAGATATGGAGGACCGGTCCGGTAGGCTGACTGCGTGTTTTCCAAGGGTGACTGCGTGTTTTCCATTTCAAAGGATCTTTAGCCCATGTAGAATGCATTCATGAAGGCAGACCAGTATAGCTGAAGCCGAGCAGTGGCCTACAGCACCTGTGTTCTGACACATAGGACGTACCGCGTAGAAGGGAGCAAGTGACTTGAAGCTCAGACTTGAGGGGCAGCGCGCCCTGGGCTCAAGGCAGAGTGTGGCCTTCACACAGAGCCCCTTGGCCAAGGCGTTGTTAACGACACTTCCTGTTTGTATAGGCCTTTCAATTTGTGCTTCTGCAGAGATCGTATCGCGAAATCCCTTACCACGGGCACCCATCCGCCCAAATGAAGTCTTCGTTACCAGAAGAGTGCCGACTGTTGTATACCTCAAGCGCTGCGTAAAACTTTTAAGAGGGCCTTATGCAAAGGTTATTATTCGAGGGGCAGGCAGCTGCATAGAGACGGCCATCTATGTAGCACAGGACGTTGTAGCTGCTTTTGGGGGTATGATAACCTACAGCTGCACAAGGCAGCTTGTGCCAACTGCGGCAGCAACATCGGGAACGGTAGGAGCGGTGGCGAGTGAAGCATCAGCAAAGGCTTTGAAGAGGGATGCATTTGAGCAAGAGGCATACGCCAAGTTCGCTGCTGCCGCTACCAGCCTAGCAGCACTTGAGAAAAGCAGCTCCGCCGCTCTTGTGTCGATGAGTGCTGAGGCATCCAGTGCGGAGGCCTATGACGAGGTCATATCTCTCGAAAAAGGAAACAGCAGCTCGAAGGAAGCGGCGCTCGAGGCAGCAGGAATACAACAGGAGCTCAGCGTGAGCGCAAAGCAGAGACTCTGTTTCGATTGGTGCAATTATTGCAAATGCCTCCTTATTCCGGTTTCCGCCTGGTCTTTCAATACTTTCACCGCCATTTTTGCTGCTCTCCATGTGTCAACTCCAGCCGTTAGTCTTGCTCCTGCCTTTAGTTGTGCATAGGTGGTACTATCTGTACATGTGATCCCCACAGGCTGAGCAGTAATGACGGCGGCTCGTCACTCTGCGCCTTGTGTAACTTTGTCTCTGTCTTCAGTCCTTCGTCAGACAGCGTTTTATCAGTGCTATCATGATAGAGCTCCAGCGTTTATCCCCGCCGCCTCAGTAACACGGTGAAGAGCACTCCCCGACCCACCAGATGGCTTATGTATG